CCAAAATTTCAAAAGATGATGGAGTGTCCTTATACAAGGATAAGCTCCCATTATTGACAAGAAAACTTCGGAAATCATCAGTCCCTCCATGTGTTGCTTGCATCTTTTCATCATGGGTAAGTAATGATAGAATGTTTAAACCGTTTTCGGAACTGTAGCGTCAGAGAAGAGTATGGAGATCGTCGGAGTGCGAGGTGGAGCGGAAGCCGTTGTGAACTTGCTTGGCTTTGAAGTCACGGTTTTTGATGAGGAAATACATGATTTATTGACGGACTTGAATTGCACTAAAGAGTCTGTGGGTAGCCTCAATATCTCAATAACAACATCTTCTGTTAGATCATTGAATCTTGCCATTCTTCGCAAGTTGATCAAAGTAATTTTTTTGATTGCATTACATATAGAGGTTAGCGCATTTCCCCTCTAAAAAAAATTAGTTACAATCTTAAATAATGTTAGTTTTATTTAATTAAAATTTAATTTAAAATTTAAAAATATATTTTTATTAAATTTTGATTCTTAATTTGAAAATCAAAAACTAAATTCAAATAAAAATTCATCTTATTAAATATTGATACATAAATTTAGAAATAGATTATGAGTTGAGTTATTATTACACCCTAAATAGTTAATGTCACTCTTTTTAATGTAATTGTTTATTATACCATTATATTACATTTATTCTCAAAATTCTATATGTTTTGTTTCTTAATAAATTAAAGAGTAATAGTCAATTAAGATAAAAAGACGTGATATTAATAATTGAAGGTGTAGCAATAACATCATACATAAGTTATATTATAATATATAATTAGTTTTTAAATTTAAATATTAATATTTAATAAATGAATTTTTAAATTTTAAATTGAATTCTAACTAAATAAAATGATTTTGTTTATAGCATGTTTAGATTGAGGAGAATGGAGGAGATGAGAGGGTAAAATTTGTCTCTATTTGGTTATTAAAAAAATTGAAGAGAATGAGAAAATTTTGTTTTACTTTATTTTTTCTCTTAATTTATTAATTTATCTAAATAAGAGGAAGGGACGGGAATGAAGTGATAGAATTCTCCTTCTTTCATTCTCTTCAAGTCAAACATATAGTTAAGATTAGAATTATAAATATTTTAAAAAGTTAGGATTGATACCAACTTAGACTTTCATTAGGAAAATCACTTGAAAGTTTAAAATTTTGTATTGGCAAGTAATTAACTTTTTAATGCAAAAAAAGAGGGATGGGGGAAATCGCTAACTTACCAACTTCGTTTCTCTTTTTAGTGTGCATTTGGGATTGAATCTTGCAGTAGTAGAAAACATTTTATATTTTTTCAAAATTAAATGTCAGATTTTCAATTTAATCACTACATTTCCATTCCCGTTTCTAACTTTAGAGTTGTTTTCCTTTTCTTATTGTATTAAACACCGTGTGATCTTTAATTTTTTTTATTTTAGTTTTAAAATTTTTTTAAATAAAATTAAAAAAATTTCATAAATTAATTAAATTTGAAATTTAAAACATTAATTTTAAAATTTTATACTTAATAAATTGTGAAATTTAGTTTTTAATTATAATTTTCAATTGTTAATTTTAATTATTTGAATTTTAAAGAAAAAAAAGTGCTAAATGGAGTCTTAAAAAAAAAGTTAGTAAACTGCAATTGCAAACTTTTTCTTTTGATGGATGCAATTGGCAAATGTTTATAAGTACGGGTCCTTATCATTCATATTTCCTCATACTCATAAAGCTTCCCTCCCCCTGCGACTCACCCATAAAAAGTCTCCATTTTTTCTCTGTTTTCATCTTCTTCTGAGAATCAACGGCTTCATCGTAGCATCTCGCATTCTTCTCTTTGATCCTAAATCTTCATCATTTCTTCCTTTTTCTTAGTTACTCGATCTTCAGTCTTCCACCTTTCCCTCTGTGCGTATACATTTTTGCATTTTCTCAACTCCCAAAGGTATAATCTTTCCCTCTTTCACTTTTTTGATTCTTTTGTAGTCCATTGTTTCCTTGCTTGTTTTCTGTTTTCAAGAAAAACCCACA